CCCTTTTTTTTTTTTTTTGCACAAGGAGAATATACTTCCTGAAAATAGTATTTTCCCTTACTGTGAATTTAATGTGTATTGAAATATCTGCTCTAAGGCTTTTTGTTCCATATTGAGTTACACAGTGAAGTTTCTCCTTGCTTCATCCCCTTTCCTTATCATGCATTCACTTCTTTGATCTTTTTCCTGTCATTGGTTTCAGTTTTCAAGTGTATATTTACACTGCTTCTAGACTGCTTCTGTGAAGAGCTCTGAATTGGCAAGAAAAGTACATTGAACTCTTAGAACTGCTGCTTTCTCTCCGAACTCCAGCTGCTGTGAGCAAATGTCTTAAAAAGCTCTGTATTGGTGTTACGTACAATATAATTTATAGCAGAGTAGATATACACTTCATATGCAGAAAACTGAAAATTAGCAAAACACTATAAATTTTAAAGAATCTGTGGTTTTCCAGCGGCCCTGATCATGATTCTCTTGTGGTCTGGTTAGGGGTTGGATAACACAGAAAACTTTGGGTTTCTTCTACTGCCACCTCCATCCTCTGCATCCTCCTTTTTTGTCTTCACTGAATGACTACTACTCTCACTGAGATCAAACATCTCCCAACACTGGCCCTGCTGGTTTGCTGGTATGTAAATCTTAACCTCCTTGCACATAGTGGAAGCAAAAGTGTTGATTATCATTTCACCATTTGACCTCGGAATGGGGAAAAGAGCGCCTTCCTCATTTCTGGACAAGTTACATCTTATTCATTGGATTTGCAAAGCAAAATGAATTCTAGCAAACTTGTATTGATAAGAATGCTTTCCTCTTAATTAAATCACAAATGAGTAATTGCTTTAAAGTTGAGTTGGCTGAACTGGGCAACTATGTGATTGTCATGGTTAAATGTGATTTTTTTTTTTTTTGGTTGTACCTACCAAATGCAGCACTTAATTCCACTTCTAGAACCACTATGAAGCAAGACATCCATGTAAGCTTCAGCCCAAAAAGCCTAGGTGCTTTAACATGGAATAAAAGACTACTATCTGAACAGCTAACAAAACTACATGAATATTTAAATAAGTAAGGAGGGTGCAAATAGGCAAGGGGATGGAGATGGGGAGGAAGGAATTTGCACATCTGCTACATAGTGCCTAGTGATTGTAGTCTGTATCTCAATTTCTTGATTTTTGGGGAGTTGGGGAAAGGACAATTAAATGAGGTTACACTTTCAGCAAACCAGTCTGTGTTAGCTAGCATTAAAAATTAGAATGTATTTGTTGAATCTTCGTTAAAAGTCTCTCTTTAATATTTTAGGGCTTTGAATTTCCCCCTAGTATTACCGTTGTACTATTTACTTATGTATATATCAAATATTGGAGTGATAACCTCTACTATATCAGCTTATAATTTTGTATCCTGACTGAGGATGTCTTAAAGCTGCTCCTAGGCTTATCTCAAACTTAATTGCTTCATGTGAATTTCTTATGTATGTTTTGTTTCTTGTTTTCAGTGAATATTTGGCAATATTCAAGAAGACAGTTGCAATGCATGAAGTGTTTTTGTGTCGCGTGGCAGCACATCCTATTTTGAGAAAGGATTTAAATTTCCATGTATTCTTGGAATATAATCAGGATGTGAGTATTGAAAACTGAATTGCTGGCAGTAGAAATCAAGATGTACTTTTATGGTAGGATGGAAAACTGATTAAGGGGGCTTTACCTCCTGGAGCAAATTGCATCAATTCCTTCATACCAGACATATTTGTATTGTAAAAGTTAGAAATTCATTTAGTCTGTAGGAGTTCATTTTTCCTGCCACCTGGGGAACCAAATGCCCTATATGCTCTAGCCTCAGCATCAAAAATATTAATGGGAATCCAGTATGTTTTGGATTAAAAAGATTAGCTTTTGGTGCTGATCTCACATGATGTTATACTTGTCCACTCTTTGACTGAAATTTTTCTTTTTTTTATGGGGAAGGATGATGCAACAAAGACAATGCTAACTTTTAGCATTTGGAACTGTGGATTAAATTCTGTTGCTAACAAAACTAGAGAGGATTTCTAATGAAATGTTCTGATAAGTAAAGCCTTTTTGTTAACAATGTAGGTGAAAATATGGTTAATTTTTTTTCTAGATATTGGACTAGTGTGGCTATCCACATGTTACATACTGAGTTGCTATCTAATTTTGAGTTAAAGGAGAGGACTTTCTGGATTCATAACAACTCTTTAGTGTTGGAGTTAGTGGTTGCTCATATTCTGCAATTTTAAAATTGCAGAAATCAGCATTGAATGTTGAAGAAATCATTACAAAGATTGGCTCAACTGAGTACATGCTTAACTTCAAAATATGTTACAGAGGATCCTCTTGTTGCTTCCTGTAGAAGTGCTTACTGGTTCAGGAACTCAGTTTACCTAAATTGGGCAAATTTAAATGGACAGGAAGAGCATGAGGAGGCTGAAACCAACATTATCCTCTGTGCGGTGAGGGGTAAATGCTTCTGTAGTTTCTGAAAGTCAAAGATCTGCCATTCTACACTTAAAAGAGCAAAACCTGATTATGCTAGGTTAACTCAACAGCCATAGTGTGTGTGATAAATACTGTATTACTGATAACTAAATGTATAACACCTTATACATTTGGTATTATCTGTATGTGTTAGAATGTTGCTGATTCCCCCCCCCCCCCCCGCGAGGTTTTTT